CAAACTCTCTGTTAAAGACTTAAGAAAAAAAAATCTTCTAAGAACTGCTGATGATTCTTCCAGAGATGGCACTGGCATGGTAAGAAAAAAATCAGTGGTTCTTACATCTTTTTATTTTCCATTTAAATTTCATGACTGTGCCAACTCTTTAGATTGATAGTTATGAAGTGGAAATTGCATGAGGAATTTTTTCATCCTCTTCTGTCCACGTTGGTCTGCAGTGATGTAAAAGTGGCTGATGAGAACTGCACCAAGGTGATCCAGTTCACCTTCTCGGGACTCACAGAGCACCCAGAACTGCAGCCCGTCCTCTTCATGCTCCTCCTGGGCACCTACGCGCTGACCTTATCAGGAGACCTCGGCCTGATCGCCCTCATCAGGGTCAGCCCTCAGCTTCACACCCCATGTACTTCTTCCTCAGCAACTTGTCCTTCTTAGACATTTGCTACTCTTTCACCATCATCCCCAAAATGCTGCTGGACCTCACAGCAAAAAACTGCTGCCTCATGCAGTTTTACTTCTATGCTCGTTTTGCCACAGCTGAGATTTACTTGCTGGCTGCCATGGCCTATGACTGGTATGTGGCCATCTCCAAGCCCCTGCTCCACAAGGCTGTCATGTCTCCTCGTGTCTGCATGAGCCTGGTCGCTGGGTCCTACCTTGCAGGGCTGCTGAACGCCATTATCCACACAAGCGCCTTGCTCCAGCTGTCCTTCTGCAGTCCCCTGGTCATCAACAACGTGCCACTGCTCCTTGTTGTTGCCTCCACCGACATGCACCTCAACGAGGGTTTAATGTTTGTGTTTGTGGGTTTCAACATGATGACCACCAGCCTGCTCATCCTCATCTCCTACACCAGCATCCTGGTGGTCATGGGCAGGATGGGCTCTGCTGCAAGCAGGTGCAAAGCCTGTTCCACCTGTGCCTCCCACCTGGCAGCCGTCATCCTCTTCTGTGTGTCTGCCACTTTCAAGTACATGCAGCCCAGTTCTTCAAACTCACTGGAGAGCAAGAAAATCGCGTTCATCTTTTACACATTATAGTCCCCATGCTGAACCCTATGATCTACAGCCTGAGAAACAGGGAGGTGAAGCAAGCCCTTAGTGGTTTTATCAGGAGGAAAATATACTTCTGAAAAACAATCTCATGTTATATTATTTTCCTTTTTTTTTCCCTAAGAAGAACAGTTCATGTACGTCTCTCAGACCATTGCCACCAAAGCCATTTGGCAGCTTATATGTTTGGGTTGAAAAATTAATTAGTCAGCTCTCAAACTGTGCCCACTAACATAGCTACATTGGTCTTGTCTCTACTACAAACTTCTTGCCCAGTTTATCTCCTGTGTAATAATCATGGGGCCACCATGCAAAACAAGATGAAAGGAAAGTGTATGAGCCAGAGATGGTGACGATCTGCATCTTCACACAGACTCACAGGATGGTGGAAGTTTGACGGGACCTCTGCAGATGACCTAGTCCAACCATCTGCTGAAAGCCAGGTCAACCAGAGAGGCTGCTGAGGAATGTGTCCACTCTGAATATCTTTAAGGATGGAGACCCCACAACCTTTCCGGGTTTTCAGTGCTTGGTCCTTTTTACAGAAAGAAAGATTTTTCTTATGTTTAAATGGAGTTCCCTGTATTTCAATTTGTGTTCTCACTGGGCACCACTGAGATGCTCCCTTCACCAGCATATCCTTGTCTCTTTTGCACTGAGAAGCTGAGACCTGGACACAGCACCCCAGCTGTGGTCCCACTGACTTCACCTGCTGACAATGCTTTTCCTAATGCAGCCCAGGAGGCCTTTGACCACCTTTGCCGCAAGGGCTGGCTCATGGTCAGCCTGGTGTCCCACTGGACACTCAGGTCCTTCCCTTTCCAGCTGGTCAGCCTCCAGCTTTTACTGGTGCTGGGGTTATTCCTCCTCAGGGGCAGGACTTTGTTGAACTCCATGAGGTCCCTCTTGACCCATTTCTCCAGCCTTTCCAGGTCTCTCTGAATGGCAGCACAACCAGGGTGCAGTAGTTGGAATTTCCATCAAAATATTTGCAGCTACTTAGAACCATCACTCCTTTTTTTTGTTAACCAGAACTGTTTATTTCTTTTTGGTTTTTGTTAAGCAAACCATATTTCCAGAATGCTTGCTGCATATGCTGAGTGAGCATGAATTTTAATGTGCAGTAGTAAATGAAGAATACTTTAAAAGCCCTGATAAAATACAAAGTTTTATTAATTATGAACAAACTTATGTTATATATCTGAATATTTTTAGGCTGAATCATAAAATGTTGCACTACCTTATTGTTGTTGACTACCACTAGTCTCCAGGATAGTAAATGTATAACTTCATGTCCTTCAACTGGATATACTTTTCTGTATTAAATGAGCTGTTCAGATTAATTTTCTGAGTCTTTCCTTAAAGTAAATTATCTTCTCGAGGTTATATTAAGAGCCAGAGGCACTTTTTCCATGTGCTTAGTTCAGCGCAGAATATGAAATGGTGATCAAGTACAAAACCTGGGCTTCTGAGCAGAAGTTAATGCTTTTTATTTCCCGCTGTGCATTGCTTTATATACAGATGCACTGAATTTCATCACCCTATGGCTCAGCCTCTCCTCATGCATGGCTCTCCTGCGAGCACCTCAGGCTGCAGACCCCTGTGTTGTGCTTGGTGTTCCTCCATCCTCCCATGCTCGTACGGGCTAGCTCCAGGCTGCACTGAGGAGCTCACACCATGCACCACTTCCCTGGTGATTCAGGCAGGTGGTCAATGCCAAGAGGTTCTCTAAGAGAAAGAAGGGGCTAATGTTCCCTTCCTCAGTCTGAAGTGAGAGGTTATGAACTCCCCTAAGCCTGCCAAGACGTTGGCCTGCGTGGACAGTGATTTCACAAGGACTGGCAGCATTTCACAACGTTTAGCATTTTTAACACACTAATGTTATCATAGAATCACAGAACGGTTTGGGTTGGAAGGGACCTCAAAGATCATCTAGTTCCAGCCCTCCTGCCGTGGCAGGGACACCTCCCACTAGACCAGGTTGCTCAAGGCTCCATCCAACCTGGCCTTGAACACTTCCAGGGATGACACAATTATCCAATACCTTATCAAAGGGAATCGGTTTTAAGCAGCAGCATGTCTCAGGGAGACACAAGACTGCAAGGCAGCAGCAGACAGGACTAGTTTTGACGTGTGCAAGAGAGGGAGATGGAGGGCAAGTGTCGGGATGAGCCTTGGATGGATGCAGATCAAGCCATGCTTTAACTGATAGAGCTGGCTGTGGAGGAGACCACCTCACAGACTTCAGCCCCTCGAGCAGCAGAAAGCAACCAGGAACCACCAGCACAGTTAGCATCCCTGAGCTGGGGTAGTTCATGTGGGTCAGGACCCTGATGGCAGAAAACGTCATAGCAGCCCTGATCAGCCTCACCTGGTGTTTTCTTGCCCCGCCATGTGCACACTCCCCACTCCCACGGACTAGGATCCCACATTTTAGGGGGCTTTCAGGCCTTCCCTACGCTGCATTGTAGGTGTGCCAGGCTGTACCTGTCTCCTGGAGGGACCTGGGACCTGTGCTGTTGATAGTGTTCTTCCTGGATGAGCAAATGTATGTACATTGTGCTTTTGTCTCCATCCACATCTCCTTTTCTTTCTGACTGGACCCCCTGGATGAACCTGAATCTGGTTCATTATCTGCCATGTGATGTCCCAAGCACTTGTTGCAAGGTGCTGAGTGACTTCTGCCAACCAGAAGTTGTTGGCCAGGGGCAGCTGCTCTCTCAGCTGCTGGTGGTGTGATGCACCGATCTGTTATCCTTCAAACTCCAGGGGTAACATCTGTACCAACTGAGTGGAGGACTGAAAAGGTGTATGCCGACCCATAAACTCTGCAGCCACCAACTTCAGGGTGTGTCAAACTAAACTGCTTTAGAAGTGCACGTTGCCTTTAACAAAGAGGAAAGTTTCTTTCTCCTTAGTTGGAAGTGAAGTTGTGAAGTTGTCCCCAGGGGCTTGTTAGGAAGAGTGAGGTATGTTTACTGTGAACTTTCTAAGAAGGTTTCAAGATCATTAGAGGCTTCTTCATGATGCCCAGAAGGGCTTGTTAAGCTGATGACTCTTGGGTGGCTGGCCCCGAGGGGAGTTCCTTGTTTTGGGAAGGGGAGAAGTGTAATTTGTGATGGAAACAGATTTAATGATGTTGGAGGCCTGCTGAGAGGCTTCCAGTGAGTCATGCTATGACTATTGCCTCCACCTACTGCTAGACAAAGTGGAAAGACAAGATTTTGGCTTTAAAGATGCCCTGTCTGCTTTGGCTGTACATGTCTTAGATGTCATAGGGATTTGGTTTTGCTTTCTTTTCAAGCATTGGTTTATTTAGACTTTGAAGTCCATTGGGGAAGGACTTTCTGTGGGTTTCTCTAGGCTTGAATTTTTCCATCTAACTTTAGTCATCAAAATATGTCTACATAAGGAGGGTTGATCAGTCTGTGGAGAGGTGTTCTCCCTCTGTAGCCAGTGGGGGATTCAGATATGAAAGGGGAATTAGAATGGCATCCAATGGCATCCAGATTTTGGCTATAATGTCACCAAGTAACAAATAAATCCACACCACAGTCATCCATGAGTGAGAAAGCTAGTGGGTGGGGAGCAAAAACACCTGTGTTGGATGAATGTGAGTACAAACCACATCTTTAAAAAGGTTAGTTTAAGTTCCAAGAAGTTCAGGAGGTCTGAAATACTCTTCATCTTGCCTGGGTTACTTAAAACCTACGGATCTGTCTTTGAGTTACAGAAATAAAACTCCTCTCTGATATTCATGTCTGATTATTCCCCACTCAAATCAGAAAACAAAATAATCTGCTGTCAGCTGTCCACATGACAAAATAAAAATTGAAGGATCTTGGCCTGTGAAGACCCAGAGTGGGACTGAAATGCAGTAGGAACTAAGAGGGGCAGAAATCAGTTGCAGAGGAAGCAAAGTGGGTTATGGAAACAGGGTTGAGAAAATGCTCACAGCACAATAGTAGTTGCAAATACCTGTGTCTTTTATTGGAGAAGATGGCAGTTTTGTTTGCTAACCAACATAACAGACACTGAAAATCTTCAGGTCTGAAGAGAAATCACAGTAGCAGCTCAAGTTTGCAACACAGCTTACATGTTTGGATGCTCTGAAGTTCATTATGAAACCCATCAGAAGCAAAATCTATTTTAAGCTTTATATAAAGCACTTAGTTCTTCTCACAGTTCTTTATCCTTTCTTTTTTTCTTTCTTTTTTTTTTTTTTTTTTCTTTCGTCATGCTGCTATTGGTATTTTTCACTTCTATTTTAAATGAATTTCCAGAGTGAGGCAGGCTGAAGTCACAAAATCTTTATTTAGCCTCTGGGTTTTAGGCCAAATCCCAAAAGTTATTTAGACAGTGATTTGTACGCAAGGTCTTTTTGTTTAGGTGTTGTTGAATTTAGCACATTTATGATTTCATCTCACTCACTGTAAAAATAAATCTAGGACAATTGCAGGTAGAGAAATAATCACATTTGAGTATTGTTACAACCCATAGGCCTAAAGGCAACACTACCAATCCCTGAAAAGCCTTTAAATAAACAGAGATTTTGGTCTATCCACTGCCCTTCTCAGGGCACGCTTCACGTCCTTGCTCCTGAGGCTGTAGACGAGGGGGTTCAGCGTTGGGGATACAGTGCTGTAAAACATCGCAACCATTTTGTCCCTGTCCTGTGGAGGCCTTGACGTAGGATTCATGTACATGCAGATGGCTGTCCCGTAGAATATGGCTACCATCGTCAGGTGGGATCCACAGGTGGAGAAGGCCTTGGATTGCGCTCGTACAGATTGAATCTTCGAGATGGCGGAAAGGATATGGATGTAGGAGGTGATGATCAGAAGAAAGGGGATGAAGACTATGAGGAAGCTGAAGATGAAGATGACCAACTCTGTGAAGGCAGTGTCGGCACAGGTCAAGGCCAGCACTGCTAGCACTTCACAGAAGTAGTGGTTCAAGATGTCAGGCCCGCAGAAGGGCATCTGCAGGGTGAGGCTGCTGATGACCATAGAGCTCAGGAGGCTGCTGGCCCAGGAAGCCATGACCACGTGAATGCAAACCTTCCTGTTCATGACAGTGGCGTAGAGCAAGGGGTGACATATGGCCATATATCGATCATAGGCCATGACCCCAAGCAGGAGACACTCTGTCATACCAAAAGCCAGAGAGAAATACATCTGAGTGGCACATCTGGAGAAGGAGATGGTCCTCTTCTTGGTCAAGAGGTTCACCAGCATCTGGGGAATGTTGCTGGAGACATAGCAGATGTCTAAGAAGGACAGGTTGGCAAGGAAAAAGTACATGGGTGACTGCAACTGGGAATCAGCTCTGATCACTGTAATGATCATGATGTTCCCAACCATTGTGAACAGATAAAAAACCAGGAACACTACGAAAAGAACAGTCTGTGTCCTTGGCTGGGAGGAAAGGCCTTGAAAGATGAATTCTGTCACTAGGCTTTGGTTTTCCCCGGCCATTTACTGTTCCAGTGGTTTAACCGTCAAGATAAGAAATAGTAACAAAGTCAGCTCAAATCTGTTGCACGATGAGTGTAACAAGAGCTTATATTTCTCTCTGAAGGGGAAATAACGTACCAGACACAACATACCATCCAGTTTATATTATCTGTTATGGCGACCGGAGAAATGAGAAAAAGTTGAGAAAGTTTTCTCATGGTACTTTTAGCTGAACCCCTGTTTATGCTGGTTGCAGTCTAATTACACAGATTTAACAGAAGAATGCCTAATTTATACACATTTTAATGCACAACAGAGTTACTATCCTCCCTAGAAAATAAAAATTCAATGTTAGATCAAAAGATTATGTGTTAAAATCCCAGTTCTCAATATCCTTTCTTAACATGGGAAGAAACTTGAAACAGACTTCTGGAGTGAAGCAATCCTTCAGACACTCACATTATGAAAAAGATCTACTCTTTTGGATTCGTATACCTGTACCCTTTCCCTGCAAGAAAGCCAAAATTCAGCAAACAGACCACATATAACAAATTAAATATGTCTGACCATCTTAATGTATGTCTAGGATTCTCATCACTAGAGCTCCTAATGTTCATATTCTGGTTTTATGCTGTATTGTTGATAGGACAAGGGCTAATGCTTTTAAACTAAATGGGGTAGATTTATACTAGATATAAGGAAGAAGAGAAGTGGTAGAAGCCCCATCCCTGGAAACACTCGAGGTCAGGTTGGAGGGACTCTGAGCAACCTGATCTAGTTGAAGATGTCCCTGCTGGACTAGATGGCCTCTAAAGGTCTCTTCCAACCCCAACTATGCTATCATTCTCTGAGATGTTTTAAGGCTTTACTATGACAGGAAAGTTTCCCGGTAGCCACAGCTGCTGGATCCACAGTTGCCTCAGCCCAGGATTACTGTCCCAGGCAGGTGAGATGGCTGAGCTGTCACCCCAGTCTTCGTGAAGTGAAAGGAGAGTAGCAGGATGCCTACGTTAATAATGCTGTGGAAGACACTCATAAATGTCACTTGATACGCTGTAGGGTATCTGAGACATCTGAAGGCGGCCGTCACATTTGATGCAGGGATGTTGGAAGGCTTGTGCTCCTCTGGAATGAAAATTGGACAAATGACAGGTCACACCGGGATGTCTCATGTGGTACCAGGCTGCTACAGCTGAACAAATTATTTGGATGCCTAGTTGATACAGTCAATAGACTCTAAAGGGTGATTCAAATGACTGGCTAGTGGGTGATAACTTTGGCTACCTCAACTTCTCAGCTGTTCCTGAGAACTCGAGTAGCCTTCTGGACTGAACTTTGACACCTGGTTTATTCCTCACATGACAGAAATTCAGAAGTGTGACTTACATATAAATGTTTATATGTAGATGCCTAAATCTGATGCCTTAACCTGAAACTGAATCCTATCCTGTGTAAAAGACCAAGCAGACTCTCATAACCTGAATTAGCAATTACGCTGTCAAGGGAAAATATTGCAAAATGAATCATCTTTCCAAAACAGAAACCGTTCTGGAAGGGAGGTTAAGAAATAAACCTAAAAAACTCAATTTGAGGAGGCAGATTGCCGCAGCCCAAGATTCCTGTCTCAGGTAGGTGAGGTGGCTGAGCTATCACCCCAGTCAATACAAGTGGAGGACTCTGCCTTCACTGCAGCCCAGGCAGCCCAGACCGCTCAGCATCGACCTCCTCATCAGCCAAGGCAGTTGCATCCCTCCTGACTCAAAAGGAAGCATTAAGGTGTGGAAGCATCAGCGCCTCTTGCCATTTTAGGTACACTGTGGGATCCAAGACATCTGTATGGGACAAGCACATACAACAAAAGAGCTGCAGGAGACTTGTATCAACCAGCTTTTCACTGGCACCTGTGCAAATGTGGCAATCAGCTCATCCGTAAACACCTAAATTTTGGTGAGGTGGGTCTGATCCCTGATGTTTAATGAGATTAATCCATTTCTTATTCAAGACATGAACTCTCTAGACTAGGTGGACTCTATCAGTTGTGATGTCAACTCTAAAAGCCTGAATAATATGAAGTTCATCATCTTTCTTAAGAACTCGAGAGAGATCTTTCGCTCATTTAAGCACATATATGCACAATCATTTTAAAGCCTGTTCCAACACAAATATCTACATTCACCTTCTGATTCTGTTCAGGCATTTATAAGTTACACAACTACACCGCGTAGGCAAAGAACAGTTAAATTTTGCCTTCCATAAACCAGCTGTGGTAATGTTTTTGATGAATATCTTACCACACTAAAAACATCCTTCAGGATCTGAAAACTGTAAGCCTCTGGAAGCAAGAAGGGAAATTTACTCTAGCAAGTTTAAATAAGTAGAGTGGGAATTTCTGTAGGATTTAGTTTTCTAAATACTTCGGAGTATCTGAGAGCAAGTGGCTCATGAGAAGTTCCATGGACTTGAGATCTGTCCTTCTAGATCACTTACCTACCTCTGAAATTCCTCTCATATTATGGACGTTAGTAGATAGCATGAGCTCTGAACTTTACATTTTTTGATTTCAAAGCAATTTGAAGGATGAGAATCATTTAGGTTTTATAGGTGAGAAAAAGTAGACAAAAATAAGTTTAAGTACTTTGCTCAAGGCTGAAAGAGGTTTCTTAGAGAAATCAGTATCTTATCATGGCTTATCTATCAGCAGGGACAAACATACCGTGGACCTCTGTGAATTCTCACGTAGACCAAAATAGCTTGAAATCATCCTGATGCATCTCTGTTCAAGATCTGTAAGATTAAAGAATGCTTTTCTGTACCTGAAAATGTCAAATCTGCAAGAAGGTTGAAACTCATCCGATAATGGGAATAGTGATAGCAGAACACACAAAAGAAAATTACAGACACCCTCCCCAATCTCAAGAAATGTTAGATATTTGCAGGTAAGAAATAAACGTGGAGTGACTTGGTCCTTCACGAAGATTTAACTCATTCAAAGTGATAGCAAAGTAGTGGAAGAATTGAAATCACATTTCCAAATTTCCCTTTTGGGACACCGTAACTAATTTTAAATGCCAAAGGGAAGTGGTCCCAGAGGTGACATTGCAATTACTCCTTGTAAGCACAAGCCCAAGTATACTTTTAAGAATTTAAGTCATAAACAGTTGTAGTTGTAATAAAAGTTATTAAAATTGCCCATTCTCTGTTCAAGACTTGGTGAACGGTCCATTACACCTCAAATCTTAAGAGACCAAGTATTTTAACAGCTTTGGGGAGCTTTTAGAGGATTGTCTAAACATGGAATTTTAGCTGATTATTGCTATTTTGAGCGAAATGACTTCTGTGAGGGTGGAACACACCAATACTCCAATTTCGGTCTGAAGGCATAAGGAGATGCAGCATCTGATACATCTCATAAGGTGAAATCTTCCTTAGATGGTTATCAAGGTCTAAGCTACTAACTTTCTGTATAGTTGACAGGGAAAACAGCCATTTTCAGAGCCGAAGGGGAACAATGCCTCCTCCCTGTTCAGCTCAGAGGAATCAGCATTCAGTAATTGATCTCTCTGTTTGGGAAGAGGAGGATAAACACGTGTATTTGGCCAGATGCCAAGGGCCAGTGGGGTGGGAAGGCAGTTGTAGTGGTGGAATGGACAGTCTAGCTAGTTTGCCCTAGCCCCAGGTATTCATTCAGCTATTTCCCATCTGCCTGGACCCAAAAGAGACACCTCAAGAAGTCAGAAGAGCTTTTGAGGGAACTGCACAGGATTCAGCAAATATGTTTGGGGTGCTGGTTTTTTTTAACTTCAGCTGTTTGAACTGCAAATATTGGGGCTCAGTGACTGGGTTTGTTTCCTGACGCATTTTGGATGAGGTGTCCCAAAGGTTCATTTGACCTTTTGGAGGCCCGAGGGGAAGCAACACCTCACTTTGGACCTGCTTCCATTAGGAATATAAACATCTTCATCCAGGTTAAAGAGGTGCACTCATCTCTGAGGAGAGCTCATCAGCTGTAACGCCCTCCTGGAGCTCGGTGCTCGTCCCTAAGTGTTCCTCAAAAGCGAGACCTTGTGCCCAATAGCCTACAACACTAGAAAGAGGGAGCTCTGTCAGACAGCTGCGATTTTCTTTGCCAGAGCTGGGAAAATTTTAACAGGGCAGGATCATAATATACTCGTCCAGTTTCTGATACTCTTTCTCTGAACATCTATTTTCGGCTGCCGTCAGCAATCGATACCCCGGGGCTGACTCGTCCCTCACCGCAGAGCTATTCTCATATTCCTAGAAGTGAGGCTGCCCTGTTGGAACAGCAGGGTGGGAGTACAGGCAGCGCCAGCATCAAACAACCAGCTCAAACAGGCAGAAAAGGTTGGCACGCTCTATGTGGTGATCTTTTTTTATACTGCTGCTTCAGGAGAATCTCCAGGGTTTCCCTGCAGTTGCTCACTCACATCTCTACAAATACAGTCTTCTCTGACATGCTCTTTTGCACCAGGGTGCTGGGAGGGGAAGCTGAATTTCTGGAATGAGTTCCCCTCAAACTGTCTAAAGCTGTCCCTGTAAATGAGTAAACTATGGGGAGTCCAAATAAAGTGAAGAAAAATACCCTGTTATCAATGAAATCCCCTGTCTAATCATCATCCCAGCACTTGCACTTTGCATTTGCTACTGAAAATCAGACTTCATCTGTTTGTGTACCTGGCTAATCTCATCTAACCAGTCAGGGGTGAAAATGAACCATTTTCATGTACCTGTTCCTAAAGATAAAGGATTCCCAAAATTCTTGATGTGCCTTCAAAAAAATTTCATACATCTATTGAACTTCAGTTGAAACCTCGACAAAGACAGCGACTTTTGCTGCTTAATATAACCATATAGATCATTGTAGGCAGCTTCGTATACCTCCTGGGCCACTCTGACAATCACTGCCGTAATTCATTTCTCATATGAATCCCTTGTATTCTTACGAAGTGAGAAAATGTAGAAATAGCCAAAATGTAGAACCAGTGCACAAGAATACAGTTAAG